GCCTGGCCTGGGTGAAGCCGTCCATAAAGAGCAGGGCAGGCGGCTGTTATTACAGCATCACAGGACCGTCCCACACATCAAAAGGACTCGTCCGTCCGTCCGTGAGGCCCGTGGTCTGAGGGGAGCCGCCCAGCGGACGGGCCAAGCCCAGCTGGGCCGGCACTATGTCCCTGCGGGCGCCTCTCCAGATGAAACCAGATGATGCAGTCGGAGAGTGAGTCTTCCTGCCTGTCCTGCACACCCGGCCCGAGGCTGGCGGTAGAAAGCCCCGGGCGAGGCCGCTTTGAAGACAAGGATGCGCTTCTGGCGGAGCCCTGATGTGGTCGCTTTAGAGTCCCACGGGCTGTAGGAGACGGCTCCAGCCGACGCACCTGGGTGGCTGGCGCAGATTCCATCCTTCCTGCTCTGCGGCCTCATGGATGCTCCCTCCGCCCTCTTTGTGGTACTGAGGGTTGAACCCACGGCCTTCATACTGAGCTAGGTCTCCATCTCCAGCCTTTTCTTTTCCTTTCTTTCTTTTTTCTTTTTTGTTCTAGTTTGACACAGGCTCTCAATGAATCCTCAGCCCAGGATGAGATGGAGCTTGCAGTCCTCCTGCTTCAGCCTCCCAGAGTGCTGGGATTATAGGCCCGCACCACACCAGCTCCTACACATGCTTTATTCCTGTGACAACCTGGCAGACCCAGCAGAATCCAACCCAGCCTTGCTCTGGCCCTTTCTGCAGCCTGGGCTTTGCCTACCTGGAGTGGCTTCCTGCCACCAAACAAATGCTTTGCCAGAGTTGGACCATGCGTTCCAGAAGTCAGAATTCCGTTACCCTGTCGCTCAGAGCCGGCTGAGGTCTTATGTGACCTCTGTCTTTTTGTTCAGCCTGGACAGTGCTTTGGACTTGGGGGGCCTAAAGAAAGTTTTTCCAAAGCTGGGCATGATGGCACAGAAGGCTGGAGCAGGAGGATTCCAAGTTTGAGCCCAACCAAGAAACTTAGTGACTTAGTGAGACCCTGTCTTGAAGTAAAAAAATAGAAAGCCATTAAGGTTTTCCAGCTCAGAACCCCGTGAGGAGAGTCCCAGGTGACTTTGTCTGGAGGGGGCTTTGCCTGGTTGTTGCTTTGTGTAGGTGGCAGTGGGTACGGTCTGCAGGTCAGGTGAGCTGGGATGTGGCTGCGTCTCCACCCTGCTGAACGTCCTGGCCTGGGAATCCCTGCTTGTCCCTGGCCTTCGCCCCTCTCCGCACCAGGCCTTCAGCCTCCGGCCGGTGCCCTCCCTTCCTGCTCAGCCCTGCCAGGGCCCCCAGCAGTCCGTGTCTGGACCGCAGAACGCTGCACGGCTCCGCCTCTGCCGGGTGTGCTGGGCAGGGAGGGACCTGGGTTGTCATTTAACTGGGCTGCCCTGCTCTGTTTGTTTTGGTGCCCTGGGAATTGAGCCCCGGCCTTGTGTGTGCTGGCAGGCGCTGTGTCCCCGCGCCACTCTGCCTGCTCGTCTACACTGCATGGCTGTTCCCGAGTGTTTCTGGTTTTCCTCCCCTTCCTCCTTCCCCTCTTCTTGCTCCTCCTCCTCATCCTCCTCTGCTCCTTTTTTTTTTTTTTTGAGGCAGTCTCACTATGCAGGTTGGACTGGCCTGGAACTCCCCTCGACCTTCCTGCCTCAGCCTCCTGAGAGCTGGGATGACAGGAGAGCGCCACCATCCATGCCCCGCCAGAATGCTTCTGCAGCACACTGGACTGCCAAACCGCACCTTGTCCAGTGGGAAATCCCAGGCGCAGAGGGCCGTGTGGCCAGGAGGGCCGGCGTGGGCCGTGTGGCCCCTCCTGTCCGTGGAAGGCTGGAAAGTTCCGCACGATGCACGCCTGTGTCCTGTGACTCTGCCGCCCTGTAACGGAGCCTGTCCGCCCCTGCTCGTCAATGCTCGCCCGACTTTTCAGGCCACTGTGGCCTGTTTTGCCGCTGCTTGCGTTCCGCTGACTCCAGTGTCCGTCCCGTGCGTGGCCAGAGCCCCATGCTGGCCATCGTCTCGGCCTCTGTCCTTGCGTGGGGTCTTGGGCTCCCTCTGACCAGCCTGACCTCCCTGCGCTGTGGGTCTGTGTGGAGCTCAGCATCACCGGACGGGAAAGCGGCCCCTTTCATTCAGAATTGGGGACTCACCGGGCGTGGTGGTGCACACCCGTAATCCCAGCTCTCGGGAGGCTGAGGCAGGAGGATTGCTATGCATTTGAGGCCAGCCTGGGCCAGTGAGTTCAAGGCCAGCCTGACCTATACAGCCAGTGATACCCTGTCTCAAAACAAACAAAAGACAAAAACAGAATTAAGGACTCTCTGTCCTTGACACCATGACTGTTTGGCCACTGCCTAGACCTTCTGTCGTATCCCAGGTCCCCAAAGGTGCTGGTTTACTCTCAAACACTGTGCTTGAGAACTTGGTTCAAGGGTTTCAGTCTCAGGACCTTGCACTTATTTATTTTTTTTTTTTGGTCATTTTGAGACAGGGTCTCGCTATGCAGTCCAGGCTGGCCTTGAGCTCACTTTGTAACCCAGGCTGGTCTCGAACTCGCAAGGATCCTCCTGCCTCAGCCTCCCAAGTGCTGGGATAACAGGTATGAGCCACCACTCTGGGCTTTATTTTTTATTTTTTGAGACAGCATCTTGCTTTGTAGTTCAGGCTGGCCTTGAACTTGCTTATATAGCCCAGGCTGGCCTCGACAGTCTCCTGCCTCAGCCTCCTGAGTGCTGGAATGCCAGGCATGGCCAACCTGAACTACACATAGAGACCTAGTCAAAAAAATAAAAAGAGCACTTGCTGGGATGACAGGCCTGCGCCATACTCCTGGCTGTCCCTTTGCTTGGCTCTTGGGACCAGCCAGCTGGGAACACCCCACACACGTGGAGGAGGCCTGCTGTCAGCTTTTTGGGGTCAGTACCCAGATGTGGGGTCGCTGCATCCTGTGCTTAGCACTTCAGACTCTATTTTATTCCTGGACATCAGAACCAGCTCGCTGAGATCTTCTGGGCCTAGGTTCTGCTGCGACAGACCTGCCCCAGCAGCTGTAACTGCCAGCACCGCTTCTGGTTCCTCAATCCCAGCCGGTCCCCCAGTTCGTGCAGTGTCTGCCCTCGACACCCCACGGGGGCTTCCGAAAGCAAGCGAGGGCACGGCCCAGCGGTGCCACCCTTGGGTCTACACCTGAAAGAACTGACGTAGGGTTTCTGCCCAGACTTGTGTTCCACGGGCCTGGGATGCGGCTGAGGGAAGCCTTTCGCCTAGCGTGTGCGAGGCCGCGGGTTCGAGCTCCAGCACCGCCAAAGCAAAACAAAGCAAACACCTGTCTGCTCTTGTGCAAAGTAGTGCTGTTCCTAGGAACCAAAAGGTGGGCACAGCTCGAGGGCCCGTCACCTGTGAACAGGGGGTACGTGCATAAGGGGAGGTTTGGGCCGCAGAAACGAGTGAAGTAGACGATCCGTGAGTGACCCTTGAAGACGGTGCGCTGAGTGAACTTGGGCAGCAAAAGCTGTGCATTGTGGGAGCCCGTGTCTAGGAAATGTTCAGAACAGGGAAACCACTCAGGAGAAAGACCGCTGGGCCAGAAGGTGGGCAGTGGCTGCTGGTGCGTGTGGGTTTCTTAGGGTGGGAGAAAGTCCTGGGATTAGCGAACAGTGATGGTTGCACAGCCTTGTGAGTGTAGTAAGAACCACTGAAAACAGTGCGATTTAAAGGAGTGGACTTTACGGTATGTAAGTTATTTCTTGAAGCTTTCATTTATTTTTATTTATTTGTTGATTTATTTGAGGATTGGACCTGGGGCTTTTGCACTGAACTACATCCCCAGACTTATTTTTTTTTTAACTTTGAGACAGTATCTTGCTACATCACTTAGGCTGCACTCAATCTTGCAGTCCTCCTGCCTCAGCCTCCCAGAGTCCTGGGATTGCAAGTGTATGCCACCATGCCCAGCAAAAACTTTTATTTTTTAAAGTAAAAAGGTAAGGGCTGAGGATATATAGCTCAGTGGCATAGCACCTGCTTGGTAAGTGCAAGGTCCTAAGTTCAATTCCTGGTACCAAAAAAACAAAGTAATAAATAAAAGCAATAATAAGGTAAAAAAGTAGGTAAATACGGTCTGTCATGAAACCATTTTAAGTGAATGGGAACCATCTGCTTCCCTGTGGAACCATTCACAAACCACCCTGCGGTGCTCCTTGAGGCCCGGACCTGCCTGCCCGTGACTTGTGAACTCCACCCACTGCTGGGTGACCAGGGTGGTCTCTTTCATTTCTGGAGGTGGGATTCCCATGGTCAGCGTTCCTTGGGGCTACCAGCAGCCCTGCGGGGATGTCACCTTTCAGGCATAACCCTCGCAGCCAGGAGCTGTGCCCAGGGCCGCAGAGAGGCTGAGGCAGAAGTGCCCCACGGAGGAGGTGGAAATGCCAGGGTGTGCGAAGGGCAGACGGAGTGCTGCGGGAGCAGAGGACTGAGTGGGCGGCTCAGAGCCCCAGGGAGCAGGAGCGGCCCAGTCTGCTGGTTACACCCCAGCGGCCAGCATTCTCGCGCCCCTTCCACAGCCGGCCCACAGGCTCCGGTCTCCAGCTGCCCAGGGGCTGCGTGTCCGGAAGGGGGGCCCTGGGGATTCTCTAGTCATGGGCTTTTGTTACGGGAGAGGCGAGTGGACAGTGGGGAAAGCTTCCTGACTTATTTAAATTTTTAAAAATTGTGGCAAGATACACATAACAAAGCCAGGCACAGAAGCGCAAGCTGTCATCCCAGCAGTAGGGAAGCTGAGGCAGGACGATCCTTGTGCGTGTGAGGCCAGCCTGGGCTCTGGAGCAAGACCTTGACTACACACACACACACACACACACAGGCTTACAAATCCAGCCGCTCTGCCCACTCATGCGCACCTCTCGCTGGCATTCGCTGCTCAGCGCTGTGGGAGCGCAGCCGCCCGCTTAGCCTTCTCCCCGCCCCACTGCTCTCTGCTCTCAGGCGGCGACTCTGTGCCTCCCCTGCTGCGGCCCTGCCCGTGGCCCTTCCGCAGCCCGTCCCTGTGGCTGCGACTGCCTCGGCGGCCTTGTGTCCGTGCACCTTGCTGACGTGTCCCTGGCAGCTGGTCTCCTTCATTGGTGGAATGGCCTTGTGGTCACCCCCACTGCGTCTCGTGTCAGAATTCCCTGCTTTTCCACTGACGGGTAGGATCACATTCCATTGTGTGGATGTGCGTGGACTCAGGTTTCTCTCACTTTTGGGGGGCTGTTGTGTGTTTGAGACAGGGTCGCGCTATGTCGTTAGGCCTTGAACTCACTATGTAGCCTCAAACTCACAGCGATCCTCCTGCCTCAGCCTCTTCAGCGCTGGGATTGCAGACCTGTACCACCACTCCCGCCGTGAGGCATTTTTTATAAATGAGGCCAAAGAGCTCGCAGGCGGGATGACCGGCAGGCATCTCTCAGCCCTGCCCATGCCCTCCTTGCCCTGCAGGTACGATGCTGGGCACGACGGCTTCATCGACCTCATGGAGCTGAAGCTGATGATGGAGAAGCTGGGCGCCCCCCAGACACACCTGGGCCTGAAGAGCATGATCAAGGAGGTGGACGAGGACTTCGACGGCAAGCTCAGCTTCCGGGAGGTGCGTGCCCTGCAGGCCAAGGCCTGGCGGCCCGTGCCGGGAGGACCTAGAGGTGCACGGGGTGGCCTGGAGAGCGCCAGCTGGATATTTAACCAAAATTCTGCTTTAGAAACAATCGTAAAGCAGCTGGGGGTAGCCAGGCATGGTGGCACTCAGGAGGCTGAGGCAGGAGGATCGCCATGAGTTTGAGCCAAGCCTGGGCTACGTAGGGAGACCCCGTCTCAAAAAAAAGGAAAATCAAAGAAGCTGGGGCTGTAGCTCACGGCAAGTGCTCAGTATGCCCAGGGCCTGGGTCCAGTCCCAGCAGTCGTCTGCCGCCCCTTGTATGGACAGCAAACTCCTGCGCCAACCTGAGAAAGTACCCAGAAAGCAGCCTGAGAACCTGCACGAGGAGCAGAACCTCATCTGAGGAAATGGTGAAAAATCTAGAGCTATGTTCACCAAACTATTCCTAGAGGATATTTATGGGCCCAAAGTTTCAGTGAGTTTACAGTTAATTGTTTAAATACAGTACAATAGGACAAGTAGGTTGGTGCATCCCTGTAATCCCAGCACTCAGGAGGCTGAGGCAGGAGGATCACTGTGAGTTGGAGGCCAGTGTGGGTTACATAGTGAGTTCTAGGCCAGTCTGAGCTGCATAGTGCTAAAAACCAAAACAAAAATAATAATAAGTGAAATTAGATGGAGGTGTTGATAGCTCTCCCTTGGGACTGTTTTGTGGTTTTTTTTGGTCTTTTTTTTGTCTTTTTGAGACAGGGTTTTGCTATGCAGTTTAGGCTGGCCTTGAGCTCACTTTGTAGCCCAGGCTGACCTCAAACTTGCAGTGATCCTCCTGCCTCAGCCTCCCAAGTGCTGGGATTACAGGCGTGCCCCACCATGCACAGCTGGATGGGGCTTTTTTGGGGGGGTTATTGTTGTTATTGGTACCAGGAATCAAACTCAGGACCTTGCACTTTCCAGGCAGGCGCTATGCCGCTGAGCTGTATCCCTGGCCCATGTTTTCGATTCTTCCTATGCCTCATCCCTGCCAGGAAATGTCCTTGCTGGAAACTGAATTGGCCAGCACCTCCATTATGACTTCTCCCTCCAGTGCGGCAGGGAAATACATTTCCGGGGTTCAGGACCCCGATCTGTGGAACTTTGTAGAGCAGCCGAGTGGAAGAAAGCAGAGAAAGCAGCAGGCCCCTGGCAGCCCTGCCCAGCTGGGCGTCCTGCCTGGTCCCTGGTGATGGGATCGTGGCTGGAGCCCTGGCCACACGAGCCAGTTGGATTCTCTCCTGTGGGTTTGTAGCTGGGTGAAGCGCTGCGGGTTAACACTGGTGGCCGCTTCCGGCAGAGGAACACAGCGTGTGGTGGCCGCTTCTGCTCCCACGCTGGACACAGCAGGTAGAGGGGCGCATGGCGTCCAGGGCTGAGAACTTTGCTACTTTGGGGCTTTTTTTTTTTTTTTTTTTGGTAGTACTAGGAATTGAACCCGGGATATTTGTACTAAGGAACATCCCAGCCCTTTAAAAATTTTTTCATTTTGAGTCAGGGTCTCACTGTTTCCTAGGCTAGGCTCAAACTTGTGATCTTTTTGCTTCTGCCTCCCAGAGTACTATAGTAACAGGGGTGGGCCCCCACAGCTGGCTTGCCCTGGAGATATTGTTAAACCTTCTTTTATGACAAATACATTTTATCCTTTTGTCTATTTTTGAGACAGGGTCTCACTATGCAGTTCAGGCTGGCCTTGAACTCACTATGTAGCCCAGGCTGGCCTTGAACTCAGAGCAATCCTCCTGCCTCAGCCTCCTAAGTGCTGGGATTACAGGCATGTGCCACCATCTCTGGTAACAAATACCTTCTTTTTGCTTAAGCCACAGGTTGATTTCTGCCCCTTACATTCTAAGGGCTGTAACCATTACAGGTGAAGTACTTCCACCTGCAGTTAGAGCCTTGAAGTTAAGAATCCCCTGTCTATCAGAGGCTGAAAGCTGTGTGTGCTTTTTTTTTTTTTTTCTTTTCTTTTTTTTGTCTTTTTGAGACGCTATGCAGTTCAGGCTGGCCTTGAGCTCACTTTGTAGCCCAGGCTGGCCTCAAACTCACAGTGATCCTCCTGCCTCAGCCTCCTGAGTGCTGGGATTACAGGCATGCACCGCCACGTCTGGCCTGTGTGCACTTTCTTAGTAGTGTCCCTGTCTCTTTGTTGTCCACCCCTCCTGCACCCCCACCCGGCCACAGCTGGGTGGGTTCCGTCACTCCCCAGCAGGCCAGTCCCTGAGGACTAAAGAGCCAGCCAGCCCGGGCGCAGCAAGAACGCTCGTCACCCAGGGCAGGAGCTGCCACGGTGAAGCTGCCAGGGAGGCCCGGGGCTGCAGGAAAAGCTGTGTTTGAGCTGGATTTTCTTCCTTACTTCTGAGACTGGCTGGGGCTGGGGGACCCTGGGATAGGAGCGAGTGCTTTGGTGGCCTGCTCAGCTGGTAGAGCTGAGTCCACCGCCTGGATCTGCCCCAGGCTCGGGGATTCTTGATGTTTCCAGTTCGCACCCCTGCTGCGGACTTGAACACTGTCACTGCGCTTTAGTCTATTATTACTAATGTTATTTTGGGGGTGTTTTCTTTTGAGGCAGGGTCCTGCTAGGTAGTCCAGGCTGGCCTCGAACTCGCGGCAATCCTCCTGCCTCAGCCTCCCAAGTGCTGGCATTACAGGTGTATGCCACCATGCCCGGTAGAGATGGAGTGCTTTAGAAAGAAGTTTGTTGGGTTTGTGGTCCTAGAAGCCTAAGAGCCTGCTGGCAGTGTCTGCTCACCGCCCTTGCTGGAGCTGGCAGAGAGTGAGCGGCGGTGGGCAGGAGCCAAGGGTGCCAGGAGGAGAGGCTGGAGCCCTGCATGGCCTCGGTGACCTCAGCGTCCTCCAGGCCTTGGCCTCTGTCCCCGCATGCCTCCCTGGGGACCCAGCCCAGGGTTCTGAGGATGAGGCTCGGGCCGCCAGCGCTGTGGCCTTTGCTGCTCTGCGCCTCCGGATGAGCTCGGCCGCTGTGGTCCCAGCCTGGCCGCACCCTGCCCTGGGGTCCGGCGCACTTCCCAGCGACCTTTCTCCCTGGCCTGCCCTGTGCTGGCCCCTAGTGAGAGAGTCGGAAGCTGCAGTTGTCACCCGGGTTGGCCACACAGCCCCAGGGGCGCTGCACGTCCTTGGACACCTCGCTGCTGCCCCTGATTAGTGTCCGCGGGGCCCGCAGGGGGCCGAGGACCTCAGAGCCAGGGACACGAGGCGTCTCAGCAAGGCACATGGTGTTGTGAGACTCGAGGGAGTAAGAGACGCCTGTCCCGGGGTGGTTCCTACCTCCAGTAATGTCCTTCGCCCTTTGGCAAGGCATTCTTTAGGGATAATCATCATGAAAAGGGACCTGGACCCAGAACCTGGAATCTCTCGGCAAAGCCCATATTTCAGGTTGCCTCTAAAAGCCCTAGAGAGAGCATCTTCTGGTGATTTGGGATCCATTAGTTTATCATCTTTCCAAAATAACCTAAAAAAGTGGCTAAAATGGTTTATTGTCTTTCCAAATGGAAATTACATAGTAATCATTTGACAGGTAAATTTATTTTTTATTTTTATTATTATTATTATTATTATTATTATTGTATTTTTGAGACAGGATCTTGCTATGCAGTTCAGGCTGGCCTTGAGCTCATGTTGTAGCCCAGGCTGGCTTCGAATTAAAAAACGATCCTCCTGCCTCAGCCTCCCAAGTGCTGGGATTACAGGTGTGTGCCGCCATGCCCAGCCTAGACAGATAAATTCATAAGAAAAATTTAAAGAAAAAAAATGAGAAACCTGGGCTGGGTGTGTTGGCACAGTACCGTAATCCCGGAACTCGGGAGGCTGAAGTAGGAAGATCTTTGCGAGTTCAAGGCCAGCCTGAACTGCATAGCAAGACCCTGTCTCAAAAAAAAAAAAAAAAAAGTGAGAAAGCTACAAAATTGCCTTATTGATACTTTGTCTTTTAAAAAAAGAGAAAGACAAAAAAAAAAAAAAAATACCTTGGGAGAGAAGGTCCACAAAGAGGTGACTGGCTGCTTAGGTTTGGTCAGTTTATTTATTTAGGAATTTATTCTGCACAAGCCTTAGTACAGGTTGCTTCAAAGATTAATTCAGGTCATGTTTGAGTCTGAAAGAAGAGGGTGGATTATTTACTAAATCATGTGGGGATTACTTAGTAACCATTTGGAAGAAAATAAGTTTAATGATTATCTCACATGACAGATCAGAATAAATTCAGAGATTCAATGTTTAGATGTTTGGAGAAAAAAACAAGCCATAAAAGTAGTAGACACAAACATAGGTGATTGTTTATGTAACCTTGGTGGCCAGAAAGGTTTTCTTCTAAATATACTCTGGAGAGAATAGAGAAAGGTTTGACAAGGTTCATGTCAAAGGTCTGAACGTCAAAAAATCCCAAAGCACAGAGAAGGGGCAAGTGACAGAGCTCAGGTGTGTGCAACCTAGCAAGTCCGCGAAGGCCTCTCAGCAGACAGTAGGAAGAGGGGGCCTGACGTGGATGTGGGGTGCACCAGGAAAGCGAAGTAGGTAAGAGCTGGGTATGATAGGCATACCTGTAACCCCAGCACTCGGGAGGCTGAGGCAGGAGGATCGCTGCGAGTTTGAGGCTGGCCTGGGCTACATAGTAAGTTCAAGGCCAGCCTGAACTTCGTAGGGAGTCCCTGTCTCAAAAACACAAAAAGAAAATACTAAGCTCCACCCGACCACTTGCTATTGTTTTGGACGTTCTCCTGCGGGACCGAGTAACCCACCACATGCACACATAAACACCCTTTCCAAACATTTGACCTGAAAGCTGCTGGCCTGGGCAGGGGTTCTGGGGCCCGGGCTCTGGCATGGGGGACAGGACTCGACCCTGGGCTCCCTCCTCTGCAGTTCCTGCTCATCTTCCACAAGGCGGCAGCGGGGCAGCTGCAGGAGGACAGCGGGCTGATGGCGCTGGCGCAGCTCTCTGAGATCAACGTGGCCCTGGAGGGTGTCAGAGGTGCCAAGGACTTCTTTGAAGCCAAGGTAGGCGCTGCTTCCTGCCCCACGGGGCTGCTGCGCCCTGCGTCTGCTGAGGGGCAGTACCCGGGTCTTGGACTGCCAGCCGTGTGCCCAGGGTGATCTGTGCACTGCCCACGGGGGTGGGAGAGAGCAGCCAGGCGCCCTGGGCAAGGGAAGCACAGAACAGAAAGACTCTCAGGGGCAAGCGCAGTCCTGGCTTCAGGCTCAGGCAGGCTTGCTGGGTAGTGCTCCAGGTCTCCCCTTCCAGGTATCGCTGAAGGGTCCCTTTCCAAGCCAGGCAAGGTGGCACACACCTGTGATCCCGGCACTCAGGAGGCTGAGGCAGGAGGGCTTCAAGAGTGAGCTCAGTGTGGGCAATTTAGCAATTTAATGAGGCCCTGTCTCAAAATTTAAAAATATAAAAAAGGCTGTGGCTCAGTGTGAAAGTCCTGGGTTCAGTCCTCAGTATTCAAAAAGAAATCTTTCTACCCTCCATCTGGTTGACTTGCTTCAATAGCTACCCCTTGTCTTTGGTTTTTATTTTTTTTACTTTTTTGGTTTTTTGAGACAGGGTCTCACTCTGTAGCCCAGGCTGGCCTCAGATTCATCCTGCCTCAGCCTCCCGAACGCTGGGATGACAGGTGTGTGTCACCATGCCCGGGTATCTTTGCATTTTGAATGCCTGTGTTATAAATGAGTGGTTCACAGAACCACGGGAGAAGAGAGGCTGGCCCACAGCAGGGATCTGCATCGGATCTGCAAAGCCCTTCCAGAGGCTTCCATTCATCCATGGGTTCATGCAAGCACTGCCCTTTTCACAGAGCTCACCTGCAGGGCAGAGAGCAGGACAGGCCCCCACACGCCTGTCAGCGGGGCCGGTGCGGGGAGGGCCTGTGTGCCGCCACGACTGCGCACCCTGCCTCCCCACTTAATGGTCTTGCTGCCACTCTGAGATGCACAACATAAGAGACAAGAGCACTGCCTTAAGCCAGGCATGGTGGTACATACCTGTAACCACAGGACTCAGGAAGCTGAGGCAGGAGAATCTCCATGAGTTCAAGGCCAGCCTGAACTGCATAGTGAGAGCCTCTCTCAATGAGCAAACAAACAAACGGGAGTGCCTTGAGCACTGAGTGAGCTCGCATATGTAGCACTGAACACATGTGTCCCGGAGTTTCTGTAGCTTTGCCACCCCCAGCGGAGCCAGTCCTGGGGGAGTGACAGCTTCTTGCAGAGCTGCCCAGAGACGGTGTCCTCGCCGGTGCATTCCAGCCTCTCAGACCTCTCGGCAGGGCTCTGCCGCGCTGCTTGGGGACGGATTCTGTCCTCTTGATGCCGCTCTGGAAGCCTGAGTCCCTCGAGCTCCCGTGGGTAGTGCTGGGGACAGGCCGGCTACGCTGCACCTTGCGCCCCCCCCACGCCCCCGTGTCCGGTGTCCGACCCCGCCCACATCGACTCCCGATTCTTCCGCAGCGAGCCCGCGCCCCATTCCGCTCGCAGGGCTCCTTTGCGCCACAGCGGCACCGGAGCACTTGCTGTCCCCAGGGGCGGCACAGAGCAGAGAGGACCGCAGGCTCGGCCTGGGTCCTCACGTCCACCCTCGAGTCACGTTTGCAGTTTGCAGGTCCCGTGGGCACCCCTGGGGAGGTCCCCGGGCTGAGGGGCCCTTGCACTGCTGCAGTGGGCGTGACAGGTGCCGGAGGCCCGGATGTCCTACCCAGACACGAGGACGCGCTAGCGCCCGGGCCTGCTCCCTGCCCCAGCCCACCAGCCCTCCACATGCCGCGGGCCTTTGCACAGCGGGGCTCAGCGCCTGCCCTGCCCTCTGCCCGGCGCCAGGGCCTCTGCCTAGGAGACTGCTCCCTGCAGCCTCCGCTTCGGGCGGCCCCTCAGCTGCTCCTCCTGGACACTCCGACCTCTGAGCCGTGTTCTGGGCTTTCAGCCTCCAGAGGCTCTCAGGCCAATGCACGCTGATTCTGGACGGGGTTTCCATAGGTAAAAGAGAGGTAAGAGAGGAAAGGTCAGCATCTGAAGCTTCCGAGGTCAGAGAATCGAGCACATGGCTCGGCTGCACGTCTGCACACTCTGCAGCTATCAAAGAATGGGATGTCACTCTGTGAGGCTGAGGCAGGAGGATCGCAAGGTTAAGCCCAGCTTGGGCAATTTAGTGACTTAGAGAGTCTTTGTCTCAAAAAATAAAAAGGACTGGGGATAGAGCTTAGTTTGTGTTTTTGTTGTTGTTTTTTAACCAGGAATCGAACTCAGGACCTTGTGCTTGCCAGGCAGGTGCTTGTACAGCTGAGCTATATCCCTAAAATTGTTCTTTTAGTTTGTGAGGTTTGTTTTTGTTTTATTTTGGATAGAGCTTAGTATGAAGGTCACGTGTATGTGTGCACAGATGTCCAAAAAAATAAGAACAACAACAACAAATTAACAAAAAGCCAGGTGTGGTGGCACATACCTGTAATCCCATGCCTCAGGAGGCTGAGGCAGGAGGATCACAAATTTGAGGCCAGCCTGGGCTAGATAGTAAGGCCTTATCTCAACAACAGCAACAAAAATTAAACAAAACAATATATGAGACAGTCAAATTTCTTAAGTATTAAATACAACCTGGCTAATCCTATGAAAAGATAGTAGTTGCAGTCATACTGGGGACTTCCTTTATATAGCTGTAATGTTTTATAATGAGTGTGCATCATTTTTACAAGCAGGCGAAAAGATGAAAAGCCTAACAATACATTTTCCCCAACCTGCTCACCCAGACTCGAGGCTGAGCAGGCGCGCTCTGTAATTACAGTGCCGCAGTTAATTGCCCACATGAGTGACAACCAGGGCCTCAGCGCCTCGCCTCAGGAGTCTGGGCGAGGCCATCAGGAAGCCTCTGGGTGACAGATGTTCCCAGGTGAATGGGACTCAGCTTGTAATCATGCAGGGGAAGGTGTTCCGGGCGGGCGTGAGAACTGGAGAGTGAGGGCCCCAGGCTGGGAGGTGTCCTGAGCTGTAAGCACCTGCTGCTCAGAAGCCCAGATGAAAGAAGGGCTGCGAAGCCTGGGGCCCATGCCTGTAGCCCCAGCACTCGGGAGGCTGAGGCAGGAGGGGATCACCACCAGTTCAAGGCCAGCCTGGGCTACATAATGAGCTCAAGGCCAGCCTGAACTGAAAAGTGAGACCCTGTGTCAAAAAAGCAAAAAAAAGCTACAGGGAGTTGGCCAGCATGCCCCCTCTCAGGCGTTCAGCAGGTGACTGTGAGGTCCTGTGGTCCCTGAGCATGCTGGCCACACACAGGCGCTGGTTCCCTGCCCCCACGGAGGGCCATCTCCTGGGACAGCCTGCTGGTCACTAGAGCCAGCTGCAGACAGCCCCTCAGGCCCGGTCACATCTGCCTGGTTTCCTGGGACGCAGAGGGCACACAGTCCCAAGCCAGCTGTGTAGTGATCCCAGGCGCTACGAGGCGCTCGAAGTGTGGACCAGGGCCCAGACATGGGCACCGGCGGCACTGCCAGGGCAGACTGGCCTGGGAGAGGCTTCAGCAGATCCCAGAGGCGTGAGGGTCCAGCGAGGGCAAGGACTGTGGGGCAGGAAGGGGGGGGAGGGGCAGGGCCTGCGGCTGAGGGCCAGGAGGAGCTGTGATTTTAAACTAAGACCCCCGGATGGGAGTGGTGTGAGAGGGGAAGTGGGGAGCTGGTTCGGGGTGATGCGAGGTGACGTCAGGCCTACCGAAGGGGAGAGTGCACCGGATGGGTGTCGCCCTGCTGCATGTTGCTTCTGATTGAGTCTCTGGACAGAACCGGGCCACACCTGGCTCCCAGGGAATCCCTGGGCCTGGCTGTCACGATGCTACCCAGGGAGGGCGGCAGATGTCAAGGGCCATGGAGGGGTTCCTCCACACCCTCTGACCCCAGCGAGGCCTGGGGTATGCCCGATTGTGCCCTCCTCGGGTACAGGTGAACTCGGGATACTTCTTGGACATCCAGTGACTCAGACTGAGGAAGCTGTCTCCACAGGGTACAGCCTGAAACCCAGGACTCAAGGAGACTGACTGGTGGTTGGTTTTTCTTTTCTTTTTCTTTTTTTTTTTTTTTTTTGAGGTGGAAGAGTCTCACTGTGTATCCCAGGCTGGCCTTGAACTTGTGATCCTCCTGTCTCAGCATCCCAAGTGCTGGTATGACAGGCATGTGGCACCATGGCTGGCTAAGGACAGAAACAATGTTTTTGTTTTATTTTTTCATTTTGGTACTAGGGATCAAATCCAGGGTCTTTGCACTGAGATGCATCTCTAGCACCACCACCATCTTATTTTTATATTTTATTTTGAAATAGGATCTTACTAAGTTACTCAGACTGTCTTGAATGTGCAATCCCCCTGCCTCAGCCTCCCAGAGTGCTAAGATTAAACCAAATGTAATGGCACATGCCTATAATCCCAGGAGGCTGAGGCAGGAGATCACCTCGAGTTCAAGGTTACGTACATATGGGCTACATAGTGCGTTCAAGGCCAGCCTGGACTACGTAGTAAGACTGTGCCTCAAAAACAAAACAGAGGCCGGGCATGGTGACACACGCCTGTAAGCCCAGCACTCAGGAGGATCCTTGTGAGTTCGAGACCAGCCTGGGCTACAAAGTGAGCTCAAGGCCAGCCTGAACTGCATAGCGAGACTCTGTCTCAAAAAGACAAAAACAAAACAAAACAAAACAAAAAAACAAAACACAAGCAAAGTCCTAGGATTATAGGTGTGTGCCACCATGCCCGGCAAGAGCAATGTCTTTTTCTTTTTTGTAGTGATGGTATTGGGGATTGAACCTAGGGTCTTCACACTGGGCTACATCCCCAGACTGTATTTTTGAAACAGGGTCTTGCTAAGTGGCTAAATTGCCTAAGTTGGGTTCAAATTTGAGATCCTCCTGCCTCAGTCTCCCAGAGTGCTGGAATTACAGGAGTGTACCACCAGGTCTGGCCGCAGCAAGTGGAGTTTTAAGAAGAGATTAGTACTAGGGGTGTAGCTCCCATAGTACCTAACAATCTGAAGGTGGTAGGTTCAATTCCCAGCCCTGAAGAAAAGAGAGAGGAAATCAGATGAGGCCAGAACAGATGTCCTGGGCCCAGCCAGTGAGTGGGTAGAGATGTCAAGGGCCAGACTCTCCAGGGAGTCCATGTTGCTATGGGATGCAAAGTGGTGGGGATCCAGAGAAGAAGAAAGAAGACCCCAAGTCTTGCCAGGTGGCAGGGGCGGTCCTGTGTCTTATTCGCTAGAGCTTGAGGTTCACATTTGTCTGATGTTCACGCTAGTGCTCTGGAGATGGCTGTTACTGTCTTATTTTGTAGGTGAGGAAACTGAGGTCTACGTGGTGGTCTTTTGGTAAATATTTAGCAATTGGCTCCCTGAACAAAATAGGAGACATGCATCTGTGTATTATAAATGTTATCAATAATATGCAACACATAATTTACAAATGATAATACAGGCTGGGGGTGATGATGCATGCTTGTAATCCCAGCACTTGGGAGGCTGAGGCAGGAGGATGGCTGCCTCAGTTCTGTGAGTTGGAGGGCAGCCTGGGATACACAGTGACTTCAAGACCAGTCTGGGTTACATGGAAAGACCCTGCCCCCCCACAACAAAAAGAAAAAAAAGCAAACAAAAGAATGATAATATACACTGCTTTTATTGTGTGCATTTTTGTTTTTGTTTGTTTCCTGAAACAGTGTCTCACTATGTAGCCCAGGCTGCCCTCAAACTCACACAGTCCTCCTGCCTCAACCACCTGAGTGCTGGAATTCCAGACAAGTGCCACCACACCGGGCTGTTTGTGTCACTGATTCTCAGAGAACGTGCCCAATGACTTTTTTTTCTCTTTTTGAGACAGGGTCTTGCTATGCAGTTCAGGCTGGCCTTGAGCTCACTTTGTAGCCCAGGCTGGTCTCGAACTTACAACAATCCCTCCTGACTCAGCCTCCCCAGTGCTGGGATTACAGGAGTGCACCACCCTGCCCAGCCTCGTAATGACTTGCAGGATTCATGTATCTGTAAGCCAGCCTGTGATTGCAAAGCATAAAAGAATGTGATTAATTTAATTTGTAAGAAAGAAAGTGAAAGCTGTATATTGGAATGTGTATATTCCTCAGTGATCTGAGCAACTCCTTGGTAAGAGTGTTCAAATATTAGAAGACTAGTTTTTCGATTTTTTGGAGGGATTCATACAGTGAGAGCAACAGACAACGCGTGATTCTGGGTTTTATCTGCGCTTGTCACGTTTTCCCGCAGCTCTGCCGCACGGCTGCCTAGACTGTCTCACAGCCGTGAGACATGCCGGCGTGTGCAGCGCGGGCCGATGCCCGTTGAGGATACTCACGGCCAGGCTGCTGTCGAGCTCTGATCGTGGCTGTGTGGAGGGGGAAGATTCACACGAACATCGCCATCTGCCACTTGTGCCACTGCCACAGCTGAAAGCAGATGCCCCAAGAGCAAAGATACAGTCAAGGGTAGCAGAGATAATCAGGAAATGAGAACTTCTCAGTATTTCATAGTTTTGTTTTTTGTAAACTTGTTTTTAGCGGCTTTTTTTGAGGGGTGGAAGTAGTTTGAGATGGTGTCTCACCTTAAACTAGCTGCGATCTTCTTGCCTCAGCCTCCTAAGTGCTAGGATTACAAGCGTGCATCTCTAGGTCCAGTTAAAATGGTAGTTCTAGTTTTCATGTTGACTGTATTTAAACTAGCAGCGCATGATCTAGGAGCTGAGTGACTGGCTTTGGGGCAGGTTCACGCCAGTGCAGCCCATCTCTGGGCTGAGAGGTGTTCAGGGAACTGCCCGGGGCCCTGCGAAGGGAGAGCGGCTGGAGAGGAAGGACTGCACTGCTGTTTGCTGCCAAGTAAGGAGGAGAAGTAGGTTGGGTCTGGGAAGAGGGATGAGCCCCACCAAAGACCCAGCCCAACCTGAAAAACTCCTGATGTCCCAATGAATCTGGATGCTTAATTCTGAGACTTTCTGTAAAGAAAAAAAGAAAAGTGTTCCAGCCTTTGTACACCAAATCATCAGTACAGCCAGGCATGGTGGTGCGTGCCTGGGATCCCAGCACTCTAGGAGGCCGAGGCAGGAGGATGGCAAGCCCAACCTGAGCAGCTTAGCAGATGGAGCTCAGTGAGTGTGCAGGCCCTGGGGTGGGCAGGAAGGAGGGTCAGCGTGTCAGGCAGGGCACAGGTCCCAAGGAGTGGCAGTGGAAGGTGTAGACGTCCCTCCATATGTTGGGAGACTTGGTCCCATGACCCCTCACATACTTGTGTCCTTTACAGAAAGGGTGTGTATCTTTGTATAACCTGTCCACAGCCTCCCATGCATTTTCACATTATCTCTAGGCTCCTTAACCTACAGCTAAGGCCTTGGGAAGTTTACAGATTTATTCTTCCCGTGATCGTTTTCGCAGCACTGGGGCTCAGGCCCAGTAGCTCACCCGCGCTGAGCGCGCACCTTAGCACTGAACTACAGCCCCAGCCTGACTTTCAGTGTTACAAAAATAATTCCAGCGCATTACAGAGATCATGTCATGTTTATTCTCTAAAGCCATTGCTTCTGATAACAAAACTAGATAAAAATGCCATACCAGAAATAAATTTATATTAAGGGATATAGTTGTAAGGATCATACACTATCAAGAAATGGAACGCAGCTATAACATTTAAGGAGATTCGTGCTAAGACTGCAAGGATAACTTTTAAAAATATATTCCTATTGTAGGGAATGTCAAAAAGAAAAAAAGAAATGGCTGGGTGTGGTGGAAACCTAAAATCCCAGTACTCTGGGAGGCTGAGACAGGAGGATCCCAAGTTCAAGCCACCCTGAGCGATTTAGCAGTTTGGGGAGATCCTGTCTGACAATTTAAAAATTTAATTAATTAATTAATTAATTAATTAATTATTTATTTATGGTCTTTTTGAGACAGGGTCTCGCTATGCAGTTCAGGCTGGCCTTGAGCTCACTTTGTAGCCCAGGCTGGTCTCAAACTCCTAACGATCCTCTTGCCTCAGCCTCCTGAGTGCTGGGATTACAGGCGTGTGCCACCATGCCCAGCTGACAATTTAAAAATTTAAAAAGGGAAGCTGAGGCAGGAAAATTGCCATGAGTTTGAGGGCATCCTGGACTACATGATGAGTTCAAGACGAGCCTAGACTACACAACATGACCCAGTCTCAAGCTGGGGGTGGTGGCGCACACCTGTAATCCCAGCACTTGAGAGGCTGAGACTGGAGGATCATTGCAAGTTTGAGACCAGCCTGGGCTACAAAGTGAACTCAAGGCCAGCCTGAACTGCATAGTGAGACCCTGTCTCAAAAAGACAAAAACAAAGACCCAGTCTCAAAAAAAAAATCCTACTTTATACTCCTCACTAAAATAAGTGAACTTATGGGGGAGGGGCTTTCGGGTCTTAATAAGCTAAATGAGAAGACAAAACCATAAAAGTGTTAGAAGAAAATACAGGAAAAGTAGATTTATAGCCTTCTGGGTATAGAAGAATTTAAAACATGACATAAAATGCAAAACCCAGAAATTGTTGATAAATTTAGTGACATCAAAATTGCAAATATTTCTGAGACCCAAGATAACTTCAAGTTAGAAGGCCATCAAAAGACAGCAAGCGGTGAGTAAAAAATACGCGGCAAAAAATACATAGCTAAATTTCATAAAAAGCTGGAGGAGGAGAGAGGCACTGCAGTTGAATAGAAAAATAGGGAAGGGATTCAAGTGGGAGTTCACCAAAGAGGAAGTAAGAGAAGGTGCCAGTTTTCTTTCCTTCTCAGATTGGCAGAAAGGTAGAACATTAACGGTAAGTTTTGGCGAAGCTGTGGGGAAATGAGCCCGTGGTGCTGGGAGTGTACCAGAGCAGCTACCCTGGAGAGCAATTGCATAGCCTGTACTAAAATAACGTACACAGCCAGTGCATCATTCAAAAATGTTACCAAATGGATGGGGGCATCAGCTGTAGCATAGAGAGCTAGTACATGGATTTATTTGATATGTATTATTAAAAACAAATTCTTTTAATTTTTGTTTGTTTGTTTGTTTTCTGGTACGGGGAATCGAACTCACGACCTTGCACTTCCCAGGCAGGTGCTGTGCCGCTGAGCTAAATCCCCATCCCTGAAAACAAATTCTTAAATAAAAAAAATGGCAGGTAGGTATGGTGGCTATATTCCTAACACTGGGGAGTCTGAGGCAGGAGGATTGCAAGTATGAGTCTAGCCTGGTCAACTTGGCCACTTAAGGAGAATCTGTCTTTACATTTTAAAAAATGTTTTTTTTGTTTGTTTGTTTTTTTTTTTGGCTTTTCTCCGGTACCGGGAACCGAACTCACGACCTTGCGCTTGCCAGGCAGGCGCTTTTTGCCGCTGAGCTAAATCCCCAGCCCCATTTAAAAATATTTTAATTTTTTTTTTTTTTTTTTTTTTTTTGAGACAGGGCCTCGCTTATATAGCCCAGGCTGGCCTCCAACTCCGTGATTCTTCTGCCTCAGCCTCTTGATTGCTAGGATCACAGGCATTTGCCACCATGCTGGCTACTTCTTTATTTATATATATATTTTTGGTGCCAGGAATCTAACTCAGGACTTTGCATTTGCCAGGTAGGCGTTGTACTGCTGAGCTATATACCCAGCCCTACTTATTTATTTTTGAGGCAGGATCTCACTAACTGGCTAAGTTGCCCAAGCTATGCTCCAACTTGTGATTTTCCCGCCTCAGCCGCCCAGTGTGCTGGGATATAAGGCACGCACCACACCGCGCCTGGCCTCGAAAGTATTTTGAAAGGGCTGCAGAAGGGGCTCGGGCTGAGGGCCTGGAGCTAGATAAAAAAAGGATGTAGTGCGCCCCCTACAGCTGGCAGCTGGTGTCCACCCGGGCGGCCCATCCGAGGCCCAGCCAGGCGCGCTCCAGTCACGCGCCTCTGCTGTCTCTCCGCAGGCCCTGGCCTTGTCGTCCGCCAGCAAGTTCGAGGCCGAGCTGAAGGCCGAGCAGGCCGAGCAGAGGCGGAAGGAGGAGGAGAGGAGGCAGCGCCGGGCCGCCTTCCGGGAGCTCAAGGCCACCTTCAGTGCCTAGCCGCCGCCCACGTCCCAGCTGTGCCCCACCGCCCGCACCCCAGCTCTCCAGCCGCCCCCCCGGCACGCGGCGTCCTGCCTCTGGCCTGTCCTCGCCCTGTCCTCGCCCTGTCCTCTTCGGGGGCCGGGACCCCCTCCCCGGCCCCTGACCTCCCACTGCTCAGGACAGCCGGGCTGTGTCCGCGTGTCCCCTTGCAGCCCTCGGCCACGGGTCTGCCTTGCCCTGTCCTTTCCCTCCTTCGGCTTGTAGTCACCTTCTCTCGGCAGCTCTTGGGCCGGGGCTGCAGTGCCCGGGTCCACTGCCCACGCGGTGCCCGGGTCCACTGCCCACGCCGTGCCCAGTGGGGCCGCCGCCCCTCAAGCCCACCCTCTGCGGCCTTCACCCCGGTCTGCCCAGCCCGCCTTCTTCCCCTAGCTCCTGTGCTACCCAGCTCAGGAATGAGAGGGTGATCAGCCATGCCCCAGGAGTGGGCTTCCCGTGAGCTCTGCCACCATGGAAGTCACGCTGCTCCCACTGGACACATCAGGGCCTCTCGGGGTCCCGAGGTCAGGCCGCCCTCTCCCTCTGGCCCAGAGGCGCCTTGGGGTAGGGGTGCTCCTGGCCCCAGGAGACGCTTCATATCCTGTGAATTGGGGGATTGCTCAGCACCACCACGCCTTAGTGTGTGTGTTCAATTTCCTAATGTCGTATTTATTGCTTCTGTTTGGTAACTGCCGTCTTTGCAATAAAGAAGCCATCTGCCTTTCTACCTTACAGCTGTCTCTTTCTAAAGAAACCACGCCGTGGCCTCAGCCATGAGGCCGGTGTGCCTGGAGTCTTCTGCGTGAGGGCTGACCCGAGTGTGATTTCTGGCGGCCCGGGCAGCCCTGGGGCCGTGTGGATTGCGTTTCTCAGGCACAGCCTAGGCGTTTGGAGGACTGAGGTGGTCAGCGCTGTCCCCTTCCTGCCGGGGGGCTGCTTCCAGCTCCGCGCATCTGTAGCTTCATTTCCTTTGCTTCCGTGGCTCTTGCAACTGAGGCGAGGCCGTGCCTCTCCCAGGCGTGACCGCAGTCGGACCTGTGCGCTCAGGGCAGATGGCTCTGACTGCACAAACCCGAGACCCGCAGCTCCCAGGACTTTTCCTAGCTCGGGTCAGCTGCCTGTCTCCTTAGACAACTAAGTTAGGTCGGATTATTCTAGGCAGTGGGACAGGGCTGGGCCCTGGAGGGAGTCGATGCAGAGGATGAGAACACAGCACCCCTGTGGCTGGAGACAAAGGTGAAGATTAAAGTCACAATGGCCCTAAGGGGTAAATGCAAGTTTGGGATTATTTGTGCCAGCCTTTTGGATCTCCCATGCAAACAGACGTTATCTCATTAGGGGTGGGCCATCCCCTCCCACCCACTAAGACTAAAGACAAGACTAAGAGTAGAGCCAGGCCTGGTGGCACACGCCTGTAATCCCAGCCCTTGGGAGGCTGAGGCAGGAGGATTGTTGCAAGTTTGAGACCAACCTGGGCTACAAAGTGAGCTCAAGGCCAGCTGGACTGCATAGTGAGACCCTATGTCAAAAAGACAAAAAAAAAGACTAAGAGTAGAGTTCTCAACCAAGGTGAATGACGTCACCCATGCGCCCTTGCTGCTATTGGGTCAACAGTGTTAGCCTCGTGGCTATACTTCTAATCTGATTGATTGATTATACTTCTGACCCATGTGCCTACCTTGTGATTTTGCTCTATAAAACGTGCCCAGAGGTGTGGGCTCATTGGCAACCCATCCCCGTCCCTCAGGAGCTATTCCTATTCCCCAATGGGCTTTTCTACTAACCATCGTTCCTTAGAACTGATTCTTCCTCTTTGGGGAACACGAACTTGGCGTGTCTGACATCCAGCAGGTTGGGAGTTACATTCCCCCATGTCATCCTCACCAGAGGGGAGAAAAGGAATGGAGAAGTTCATGAAATAGCCGGGCGTGGTGGTGCACACCTGAAGTCCCAGCACTCAGGAGGCTGAGGCAGGAGGATCGTTGCGAGTTCGAGGCCAGCCTGAGGTGGCTACAAAGTGAGCTCAAGTCCAACCTGAACTGCATAGCGAGACTCTGTCTCAAAAAGACAAAGAGAAAGAAAAAGAAAACAAAAGATGAGGCTGCAGCTCAGTGGCAGAGCACTGTGTCATGTGCACAAGGCCTTGTGCTCAAGCTCCAGCATGCAGCTGCCTGAAACATCTCTCTCTGGCTAAACAAGCCCGTGTAAGAGCTAAAACTCTTGATTGCACATGATAGAAAATGAAAAGGTCCAGGCATAGTGGCGCATGCCTATAATCCCAGCACTCAGGAGGCTGAGGCTGGAGGATCTTTGCAAATTCGAGAATAGCCTGGGCTCCAAAGTGAGCTCCAGGCCAGCCTGAACTGCATAGCAAAACCCTGTCTCAAAAGGACAAAAAAAAAAAAAAAGGACTTAGGACCCAAGGAAGGCACAAACATGACCAGGTAACCATGGAGACCAGGACAGGATGTCTTTGGTCCCTCTTGGGTACATCCTGGTCACAACATCCTGCAGGCGTTGCTGTCCACAGGACACTCACCTCTGGTCCCCAAGCTCTGTCTTCAGGGCCAAGGGCACAGCTTAGCCCTTCATTGATCTTTTCCTGGGTCTCTGCAGTAGCCTAATGTGCTTCACTACCCAGATTCTCCCTGACTGTCCACCTTGAAGCTTGAATAATCTTCTGTTTTTTTTGTTGAGGCAGGGTTTAGCTATGTAGCCCACACTGGCCTTGAACTCATGGTGATCCTCTTCCCTCAGCCTCCCAAGCTTGGATTATCAGCCTGCAACACCACACTTGTTGAAACTGGAGCAATATTTATGAGATGCGGATCTGTTTCTAACATCCGCCTTTCCATTTTTGAATCCCATGGCCAGAATCTGGCCTTGGTTCAACTTGTCCCATCTCTTGTCTCTCCTCCCTTCCTCTGCCTCTTGGAACAGAGCAGCCCAGGTCTACACACCTGGAACAGTTCCTGGAAAGTGCCACAGTTTCCTCCGCCTGGTACAGGTGTCTCCTGGTTTCCTGCACTGTCCCACGGAGTGGCTTGGCTCAGACCGCTTCCTCGAGCTCTTGCTGCTGCCGGGCTAGGGGGTTCCCTGTTCCTGCATCACCTGGAGCCTGCTCTTCTTGGTCTCCTGGTTTGGACTCTGCCTGCCTGCCTCTAGAGGCCTGACATGCTGCCTGACGTGGAGCAGGCAGCCGTGGCTCACTGGGCTCCTAAGGATGTGCCAGGATTTTAGAGCACACCGGTGAGTGAGGCAGGATCCCCACCCCTGTGTCACGGTGACCAGACGCCTGCAGCTGGTGACTCCCTAGAGCAGAGAGGTTCGTGTGCCTCACAGTTCTACAGAGGACTCGGTGCTGGCAACTCTTCCTGGTAAGGACTTCCTGGCAGCTGGCACCATGATGGCAGGGGCAGCGGTGGCAGGGAGAGGTCTTGTGACCAGACAGGCTGCCCAGGGCGAGAGCCAGACTTCTTTTTTTTTTTTTTCTTTTTGAGATAGGGTTTCCCTGTTCAGTTCAGGCTGGCCTTGAACTCCCTTTGTAGCCCAGGGTGGCCTCAAACTTACAGCGATCCTCCTGTCTCAGCCTCATGAGTGCTAGGATTAGAGATGTTCACCCCCATGCCTGGTTCAGGCTTCCTCTTTATTGCAGTGCTCTCAGGAGAATTAACTCAGGGATCCCATTAAGAAAATGTTCATCCCTTCCCTGGGAGTGCTCTTAAACTCCACCTTTTTGTCTGAGACAGGATCTCACTGTGTAGTTCAGGCTGGCCTGGGGCTTACTAGCTGAGGCTGGCTTTGAACTTGTGGTGATCCTCCTGCCTCCACTTCCTGAGTACTGGAGTTACAGGCATGTGCTACCATGCCCGGCTTGTTTTTTTTGTTTTGTTTTTTGTCTTTTTGAGACAGGGTCTCACTATGCAGTTCAGGCTGGCCTTGAGCTCACTATGTAGCCCAGGCTGGTCTCAAACTTGCAACAATCCTCCTGCCTCAGTCTCCTGAGTGCTGGTATTACAGGAGTGCAGTACCATGCTTGGCTGCCTGACTTGTTTTTGTTTTTCTAAAACAGAGTTTCATTGTGTAGTCCAGGCTGAACTTGAGCTGGCCATGTAGGCTTGCCTGGCCTAGAACTTTCCATTCTCCTGTCTCAACCTCTTGAGAGCTGGGATTGTAGGCGTGCGCCACCAGGCCCGGCTATCTCACACAGATTCTGACGGGAAGGAGTTCAGAAGCCATTTCCCTGTGTGGGCTGGCTCAGGGTCCTGCACAGTTAAAAGGCCAGGGATCTGAGCACTTGACCGGACCTGGAGAACCCACTTCCCAGTGGATGAATTCTCGTGATTTGCAGGCCGGGGCTGTTTTGGTGTCGCTACAACATGGCTGCTGCTTTCCCCAGTGCGTGAGTGCACGGAGAGAAAGAGAGACGGGCAAGCCGTGATGGCTTTTGTGACACAGATGCAGAACTCACACTCAGCCTAGAGGCAGGAATCACTGAGCATGATCTTTGATGTGACCACCTGGGAGTCTGTCACGATTTGTCACTGCAAGCCATGGAAGCCCCGCCTGGTTTAGGCGGAAAAGGAATCCACTGAGAAGAGGTTCAAGAGCCGGGGGCTGGGGCCAAGCTAACTGAACAGGCAGGAGCCAGGCGGCCGGAGGGCAACCAAAAGCACGCACTGGGGACCCTGGGGATGGTCAAGGGAAAGTGCTGCTGCCCCAACAGCCAGAGCTTTGTGGCGTGTGCTTTTCCATCATTCACTCCAGATTCAGTGTCCCAGGCTGAGAATAGTTACATGCCATGGGTGGGGTGTGGCATCTGGATCTTCTGTCTTCTGTAAAGGGAGACAGGCTCTGGTCCTCGCCCTGATTCTGTTTTTTTGAGATAGGATCTTGATATGTAACCAAGGCTGGCCTTGAACTTGTAGGGATCATCCTGCCTCAGCCTCCTGAGTGCTGGGATTATAACCATGCGCAACCACATCTGACTGTTTGCTTTACATGGGAGACATAAAACTGTGTCTGCCTGAGAAGACCATAAGAGTCACAGGGCCAGTGGCCAGGTGGATTTTGGAGCAGCCATCATGCCGAGAAAGAAGAAGCCCACCATACGGGTTTCTTCAGGCAACTTTCTAGAAAACTACACAAGAAATGCAGGGGAGGAGAGTCTTGGAATTCTGCCAGGGAGGATTTAAATGTTTTCCTTTGTATGTTTTTGAACTTTCAACTTTTATTTTTTTATTTTTTGAGAGGGTCTCACTTTGTAGTGCAAGCTGGCCTGGAACTCACTATTTAGCCCTCGATCTCACAGTGATCCTCCTGCCTCAGCCTCCTGGGTTCTTGGATTATAGACATGACCCACCATGCCTGGTTTGAACTTTCTTTTTTTTTTTATCCAGTATCAGGAATGGAACTCATGACCTTGCGCTTGCCAGGCAGGCACTGTGCTGCTGAGCTAAATCCCCAGCCCCTGAACTTTCATTTTAAAGCCACAGAGATATATGTTATCCTACCATGACAGCTACTACCAAGTCTACCTTTTTTTGTTTATTCATTTTTGGTTTTTTGAGACAGGATCTAGCAATGTAGTCCTAGGCTGGTCTTCAACTTACTAAGGAGCCTAGGCTGGCCTCAATCCCATGGTGATCCTCCTGCCTCAGCTTTCAGAGGGCTGGGTTTTACCATCACACCTGGCTTTGTTATCACTAATCTTCATAACAGTTAATAAAAAA